AGGCGTTCCAATTCCCATTCCCAACCCGTCCTCTAGATGTTTGCCCACGATTTGCATTCCACCCTTTCCACTGGCCGTGTTCACGCGTATTTGGCCCGGGGCAAGGGAAGGGAATGGTGTCAACCCCTCGGAGTCGAACACCGATAGATTGGCGTGGAATTGCGGGAGCAAATTATAAAAATTGATTGCCAGATTGCAAACTGTTATTGATGCAAGCTAGCCAAACTTTGAAATCTCTAAACAAAATCATATTTTCGTGGATTGGGCACTTACAGTAACCTCGTAGAGATCCCGAAGGCGCCGAAAAATATTTCTAAGTATTTGAATAGCGTAAATGGATGGCAGTTTACATAGATAACGTAAAAACTCGACGAATTTTGCATACGAAAATTATTTATGCTTTTTTCAGCCCACAGCGACCCGTCCTCATCAGTTTTCGCTACACAAGAAACCACAGAACCCTATTACGTGGTCGATGGCCAATCGGGGCCCACAGTGAAGTGTACGGTGGAAAAGGCGTACCAGGATCGAGCAGTCTACGAAATTGCGTGGACATTGTATAGTCATGGACATATCAAGTAAGAGGGTACGGTAGTACGAAACTTTCCATTTCCAGGCATATCTCGCGGAATTCGCGGTTATTGTCGAAGGACAACTTTGAACTGGTTGAAGACGCTGCGAATGGGCAGTATGACTTGAAGATTAAGAAGGTATGACCGATTACGATATGAAATTCTCGGATTTTGATTTTTCGCTTTTTTTAAGTTTTTGAGCTAAAAATTGACGATTAAGAAACCGATTACGACATGTAAATACCCAACTTTTTAGGTGGCGAAGGGAGTAACGGAGGGCAATTTCCAATGCTCCGTGCTAAACCTCGAATCTGATGATCAACACTCAGCTGATGCGCAGCAAGTCATCATTCTTGGTGGGTGGATTTTTCTATCGAAATGGATTATCGATTAAACGTGTTAATTAGCTTTTCTGGTTGCCAGTTAGATGAAATCTCGTTAAATTGGCAATGTGCCAACACCTGGGAAAAATTTTCTGGGTGTCAGAAGACCCTTTAGCGCCCTCAACCTGTTGCGTGGTGTCACTTGGAAGAGAGAGAGAGAGAGAGAGAGAGAGAGGGAGGGAGAGAGAGAAACACTCTCTAGGTGTCAAACCATTTGACCCTCTGTTTTTTCCTGATCCCCTCAATCCCCCTGGAGTCCCTCCAAGAAGTGTCTATCTGGGTTGCGCAATGCCCCTAGGGTATGTCATTTTAGGATTTGGCAATCTGACGCGCAAAAAGTGATTTTTGAGGGGGATGACGTTTTTGTTGGTTTAACTGGATGGCAGGTTACACAAATTCGATTAAATTCCGGTCTACTATTTTAACGGTATGGTGCCAGCAAGTATTTATTACATTATGACCTCAAAAGAGCCAATTGGCTGCTCGAAGAACGACGATAAATCCAGGTTCTGCGTAATTTTTTCGATGAAAAACCGTCAATTCTGCTAACTGGCGCCTTGTTTTAAAATGCGAATTTAACGGGACTGTGACAGAATCGCATATAGCATTACGACATGAAATTGACAATTTTTTGCCCAAAGATCGGAATAATTGAAATTTTCGCGAATTTTTTGACAACGAGAACTCTCGATTTTGCAATCTGGCACCCTTCCTTTAAAGTGTCCATCTTCTCTCTGCTTTCTCTGTGAATTGGTGGGTACCCTTGGCTATGTAGTCAATAATAAGTGGATGGTTGGGGGGTAGAAGTGAGGTCCAGAAGGAGGGAGGGGGAACGGCCAATATTTGTCACTCTCTCTCTCTCTCTCTCTCTCTCTCTCTCTCTCTCTCTCTCTTCATAGACATTGGTGCTATTTGCATATCGGCACTTCTTTCCTTGGGTCCCCTTCAATAATACCTTCCGACCTGCTCGAGAGAGAAGGGCCACCGAATAGCCTCCGACCAATCGAATAGCCTTCCGGGCAAACCGGGGATCAAAGAAACACAGGGATTTGGCTTCAGTTTCCCTTTTTAACCAAGCAGTTTTAAAGGGTGTGCCGGCGGGTTTTTTTCTCCCCCCCAACAAAAAAAAAAAAAAAAAAAAAGGAAGGAGGGAGGGGGGGGGGAGAGGGGGGGAGGAAAAATTTTTCCTTCGAGGGGGAAACGAGGGAGCGTGGCGGCGGTAACTTCAAATTTTTAAAATCCAGTCCAAAAAACCATTTTTCGCCACTTCAACGGCCCTTTAATGCCAGAAACCGTCCACTGACCAGTGCGGTAGTTGGCCCTCTAATCTGACTGCCCGACAATTAGCCCGGCCCCCAATTTCCGGCTGCTCCTTTTTGTGGCTAGCAGATAATTGGAAGCCAATTCTGGCCCTAGTCAATAGAGAATCCTGTAAGGGATGAAAAGGGCCATTGTTCTTTGCTACCTGCCAAACAACAAATCTGTCTCTCTGTCTGTCAGTCAGTTTGTCTGTCTGTCTGCTAGTTAGCCTTGTAGGGCCCGCCATAGGAAGATTGGTCGTGTTTTAAGGGTCAGGGCCCGAAACTCAATCCTTGAAAAAGTCGCAAAAAATTGGAAATAAAATTGGATTTTGGTAAATTAGCATCCAGTTAGCCATTTAAAAAGTTGGGTTTGATTTTTACTCGCTATCTCTAACTCCTGGCCCTTTCTCTCGCTCTGCCACTACCTGACCTCACAGCATGCAGCCGGCTTGATGAGGTGTGGAAACAACGAGATGAAGGAGGGCAGGTGTGGAGAGAGAGAGAGAGAGAGACAGAGAGAGAGAGAGAGAGAGAGAGAAGGTGACAATCTGTCTGACACCTTTCTGCCCTGGGGCAACATCTCGAGGATCTCGAGACTGCTGGGGGTGAAGAGGAAATCCGAAACCATCCGATGCCCCCGGACACATCCCCCTGTAGAACACCCAAAAATTATGCGAACAATGGACTAATTGGATGTCAGTTAGGGGGATTAGGGGCATAGGATTTGCATATTGGCGGGAAATTATGGAGGGAGGGGTCGCTGATCCGGAAATGGCCGGTAATGGAATCTGGGGAAAATCGAAATCATCAAAAATGCCAGAAAATCCAGAACGCGAAAATTTACCTAATATTTGGTACAATCTCCTGATTTCGCGTGGTTTCATGACTAATTTCGTGTCGTAATCGAATCGCCAAAAATTCGATTTTTTTTCTTGCCAAATGTCGTAAGTTTGCCGAATACTTTTACCAATATTACCAAATTTGAAGGAGACAGGGATTTTTAAGGACACGGGCTAGTCGATTACCGTATTTTTGCGACAAACTGGCATACAGCCTACAATTGTACACCCTTAGAGTTGTACTCTAGCAGGTTTTTCTTGGCAAATAATTATCGGTAAGCCGCCAAGAATGTAGCGCCGACGATTAGCCCCTCTTTTTCGCACCCAATCTATTCTGGGGCAATGAATGTTTGCCATTTTCTGATCGGCACCTTTAAAGGGACCTGGCCATTGCCGAAGAAGGGCAACCATTTTATGGCCATCCAAATGTGCCCTCGGGGCATCTTATCACACGCCCCGCAAAGAAGCAAATATCCCCCCAAGCCGACAAGACATGCCCTGGGGCCACGTTGCGCAAAAAAACCGACAAAAGGATTAGCAACAAAATGGGGAATGTAAACAATAAAAAATGTTGCGATTTTAGGTTTTTAGGTCGCAAAAATGCCAAAAATACCGGAAAATAAAAAACAACGAATTTTTAAAAATTGGAAATCGGCCAAATCCTTTTTGTCTCGAAAATCGCTCAACTACCTTCCCTGGTCCTTTAGAATGCTATTTCCTTGTCAGTTTACCGACAAATATTCTAAAAATTATGAGAAAATTTGCTTTTTTGTGAAAATCGGATATGTCAAAATTCAATCGCTTATCTGCTTCGAAACCTGCCAAAATCCCGATTTTCGGCCTCGAAAACTTCAATATATCTCAACTGCCTTCCACGTTCCTTTAAAATCCCATCCTCCATCCAGTTTGACTTCTCCGACTTCAAAGGCCCCTCCTGCTACCCAACCTGCCATCTCCATTATGCAAATTAGGGTATGGCGGGAGGGTGTAGGAGCCGTGTGGTCAGTGTGACATGGGATATTCATGACCCCTGCCATCCAACTGAAAGATATAACTCTTCTTTAAGGGATCGTCCCTCCAAGGGGACTCCATTTCCGGGCCGAATGCTTGCCAGAAGGGCGTCCCAGCTGTGATCCGGCCGGTTTCCGGTCCCGTTCCGGCGCTTCCGCCCTGATAATTAGCCGGGCATTCAGCCAGCTAGCAAGAGAGATAGAGGGAAAGGGATGGGCAGAGGGGATAGAGAATGTAAATGATATCCTGTGTCCCCTCTAGAAGATGCCCTGGGGGGACGCGCGCACTGACACCACCCAGATCACGTCAGAACTCAGGGTAGGAGCAACTTTTTAGGGGTTGAGAGCTATTTTTGGGTAAACTGGCAGGCAGAAAAGAGAAATTAATGCTTACAAAAATTTTAGGAATTTAAATTTAGGCATTAAATAGATTTTTGGATCAAACTAGCGCCCAGAAAATCACCAATACAATTTTCAAAAATTCAAAAATCGTTTATAAATTAGTAAAACCGGGGAAAGATAAAACGGGGGACCACACAACCGGTGATAAGGCACAACCAAACCAAACCTAATAGAAAGGACACCCGAAGCGGCACCACCACCACCTACCCGAGGGGGCAGAGGGGGGGGGCGACCACCAAGAGAACAATAACGACACAAGAAGGGAGAGCCAACACAAGGTATCAAGGCATTTATAGACTCTACTATAAATTTTAAATTTTGGGGACTAAAATATATTTTTAAGCAAACTGACAACCAGAAAAGCACACATAATGCGCTAAAAAAACCAAAGCTATATTAAGGATGCGGATTGTAACCGGGCGATTTTTGGTAAAACTGCCAGACAGAAAAGCTAATTAAAAAATTTGAGAATAAACCAAAAACCTTTAAACAGATGCTTAATGTGCAAAGTAAGAATTAAGTTAAATTAAAATAAAAAATTGCAGCAAAATCTCGAAAATGAGCCCGGCATTGAATTTAACAATTTTATTTAATTTTCTTCAGTGGAGCCCAGCGCGCCGGAAATCGTGGAATCCCCGCAGCAGCCGATCCGCGAGGGTGATGGCGTTCAGATGAAATGTCGATCAGAGGGTGGAAGTCCTCCTCCTTCTATTATTTGGCTATTCGACAATACAACACAAGCTGGACAGGATTTATATTCTGTTAGCGTAAAAGAGGACGGCACTGTCGAGAGCCGAATTCAGTGAGTTTTTCGTTGTAATTTATGTACATTAAAATTTAAATGAATAGGGTTTTACACTGCCTAAAAACGCTTGACTTGCCTACACCTTTAAAGTAGCGTAAATTGTAATCTTTTGCATTCTAAACTCCGAAATTTTCTGGTTTTATCATGCAAAAACCCGATCAAGTTCGGAAAAATTCTTTTATGACACTTTTAAAATTGAAATTTAATACCTTTGATATAATATGGACATTCTAAATTTCATTAAACTTTAAACTGTCTAAAAATCTATAACCTGACCCTATTACAGTATTCCAGATGGCGTGCCCGTGCCGAGGACAATGGCGCTTTCATGACGTGCGTCGTCTCCAACAAGGCGTTGGAAGGAAGAGCACCAAAGACCGTCCAGAGCTCCCGGCTCAATGTAAGTTTGTGTACCGTGTAGTATGGGGGTCAGATTGACTAGCTGGCAAACAAATGACCAGAAAACAGCCCGATTTTTGGTATATCTAGTAACTGATCAAAAAAAAGTTCCAAGTCAGTTGATTTTCAGAAAATTTTGAGCTACAGTAAGCCAGAAATCGCTCCAAATTCCAAAAATCCGGTTATTTGTCTGTAGGTTTGACGATTTGTCCACCAAATTGTCTGTCAAGCACCCGGTTTGTCTGTCTGTCGGCCATTAAAACTTTTAAACTTCTCACTGATAACCCCAAAGCCCTTTCGATGACCAAAAATGCCCAAAAAACATCCAAAATAGAGTAATTCCTTCTGTTTGTCGGTCAGTTTGTCGATCTGTCCGCCAATCTGTCCGTCAATCACTCCGTTTGTCGATCTGTCGGCCATCCAATCCATCCCGGAGGTGCGAAATGCGCGCTAGCTCCGGGAATTGGCCCACCTTTTTTCCGTGTTTTTCCTCTTAACGGCTTTGCTGTGAGGGGGAATGGATGTGTGAAGGGGATTGAATGGGGTCATTCCAATATCTTTCCCCTCCTTTTCTCTAAGGGTTCCGGCTAGATCCCCTGTACCATTTCACCGCGTCAAAATGGGGGCCACGCATAACTACCCTGCCCTCGCGGCGAAATCCGGAAAAAAGGGACCGACCGGATCCCGGAAACTGTAATGTCGTTAGGAAACGTGCGGAAACTGCAAACTGGCATCCATAAAACCTTATTTTAGGTGCTGTACAAACCTACCGTAACCGTGGGCCCGGCGTCGGAATATATTGTTGAAGAAGACCAGGCGATCGAGTTGACCTGCCAGGGACAGGGAAATCCACAGCCGACCGGATATGAATGGTCCGTTTTTTTTGGATTCCTGGGCTACGAGCTAGAAAGATAGAGTGTTTTATGCAAATTGGGAGTCAGTTTAGGAAAATTAAAATGACAACCTGAGGCTACAGGCTACAAAAATTAATTTTTGGCGCCATTGGTAGCCATTTTAGCAAAATTTGCCTAGAATTTCAACTCGAATTTTTTTAAAGAATCTTTCATGCTCGATTTGTCTATTTATAATGTAGCTGACTGTCAATTCGTCGATTAAAAAAGGCAAACCACAAAAACTTTGGGCTATTCAGGCCACAAAGTCGATTTTCCGCTTGTCCGGTGCACCAGTTTGGCCAAATCAGCCTTGATTTAGCCTTTAAAAACATTGTAGAATTGAGTTTTTACGTTTTTTGGTGTATTTTTGGCCAATTACTGCCATCCAGTTAACCGTTTCGCTTTCAAATTTGCCCTTTGAAAACCGCCTTTTCCGCACATATTTTGAAAATTGTCGGCGCCAGGGTGTCGCCACCAGGGCCATACCCTGAATTGGCGGTCAGCACCGGCAGTTTTGGGTGGGTGGAAAAAATGGAGGGCACGGGCCAGCCATTATGCCGAGAGGAGAAGAGGAGGGGAAGGGCAGGTGGACAGGATGGGTATCGGGTCGGTGGTACCTGAATATGGGGTTGGGGTAAGGTAAAAAGGGTAAAGGGCTAGAAGGGCACCTGTCCAATCCACAAAACCCCCGGCTGGGTGACGAATAAATTTGAGGGGGACCGAATGGGGGTGGCACGAGAATTCGGGAGCAGTCTTAGAAAATTGGCCTCAAAACTCGGGTAAAAATCAGCCAGGGAACCGAATTTCGAAAAGCGAAATTTACAATTGGTTGAGCCATGAAATTCCGGCCGTGAGCGGGTTTCAAGGCTTGTAAAAATCCGTTTTTGTTCTGCAGAGGGCAAACTGGGGTAAAAACTGCAAAAATTACTTGGATTAGGCTTTTGTTAATCGACTACGCAATGAAATTATGGCCCTATTTTTTTGACAACTTTTGACAATGTGATTTTTCGCTGGAATAGCGCACTGGACTACAAGCTATAGATCGGAGAAAATTAGACGGTTTGAGCGTCAATATAGCCAATTTTGATTTACCTATCGTAACCTTTTGCAGGAAACACATCCCAAGTGGCGAGCGATATCTCGACTCGAAATGGCCGATTCGCGTCGAGCAGAAGAGTGCTGGAGAATATGAATGTCGAGCATCGAATAGCATCGGAGAATCAATGGATCGGCTACGTGTAGATGTACAGTTCAAGCCGAGGGTTGTCACCAAGGTAAGCGCTAAAAAATGGTATAATTCTCTTAATTGGCATCCAAAACTTCTCAGCGTTCAAAAGGCTTAAAAATCTCTCAACTGTCATCCAGCCTACCCAAAAATCTATCGAGAATTAATTTTTGGGATACCGTAACCTCAAAAAATAATAATTCTCCCGACTGGTATCCAATTCATCCAAAAATCTATTGAAAGGACTTTTTTCAGAATACCGTAAACTTAGAAAATAGCTTAAATCGCTTAACTGTCATCCATTCCATCCAAAAATCAACTTAAAAACTATTTTCAGGATACCGTAACCCCGTCGGAGGGAGATACCGTAACCCTGGAGTGCCAAGTCGAGGCCAACCCTCGTGAAGAAGCCGTAGAATGGACGGGACCAAACGGCTTCCAAGCCAAGGGCCCGAAAGTAGTGATCCCATCCGTTGCTCGGGATCAGAGTGGAGATTACGTATGCCGGGCTACAAACTACTTGACGTTGTATGGACAAACTGGCACACAGCCAAGAACAGGACAATCCACATTGAAGGTAATTTCAGCGTTTAAAGCAATTTTCATAGCGTAATTGTTTTAGGTGGATGTCAGAAGGAAGCCTGGAGCCGCCAAAATCAGCCCGGCTACCCTTAATGTGCCGGTTGGAGGGACTATCCAATTGTCATGCCAAGCCATCGATCTCGGAAGCCCGCAAGCCGAATATAAATGGGCCAGCCCGAGCAGTGGAGGACAGTTTGGATCACTGTAGGTTTAACGAAATTTACAAATGATCGGCTATAATTTAGTAGTTTGTATTTTTGCAACAATACAGATTTTTCCAAAATCATATGGGTTTTTGCGATAGCTTTCACATTTTTGGCTCAATTGTCAGCCAGCTGGCGCTATCCATTTAGCGCTGGTACCGGTTTATTTCCGGTTCGAGAATAACACGTAAATAACGCATCAAAATTGGTTAGAAACTGTAGTTTGTATGCCAGTTTACCTTTTTGATACGGTTTTTTTCTTTGAAGATTCGCCAAAAATGATCAACTTTGTAGCCTGTAGCCAATTTCTTATTTTTCAGCGATCACGCCGGCGACATGTTGACAATTCGAAACGCTCAACTATCGGATAACGGAGAATACCGTTGTCTGCCGTACAACCGAATCGGAGATGGAGATATTGGAATTGTTCGAGTCGTCGTCATACAACCTGCTACTATCTCAAGGCCATTAACAACAGAAAGGATATATACGGCTGGCGAGACGGGAACTGGACTCGAATGTGAAGCACAGGGGTACGGTAGTTTCCGTGTAATCGACTTACAGCCCGTAATCGATCACTGATTTTATTTTTCAATTTTTCAGATACCCCGCCCCCGAAGTGCTGTGGTTCCGCAACGGTCAACCAATCGACAAATCCCGATTCACCCTGGCGAATACCGTATCCCGGTCGTCGTGCCCACCCGGGGATTACTGTACCCGATCTACCGTATCCACTCTCTCCTTCCGAGCAGCTGTAGAGTGGTCCGATAAGGGCAATTATACCTGCGTCGCGGCTAATGGTACGTGCTTTTAAAAAAATTGCAACAGCAAGAAATAAAAAATTCTAAAAATCGAATTTTGAGATTTTCAACAAGTGATTTTTTTCAGGAGCCGGTGAAGCCGCTTCGACGTGGACAATTCTTCGCGTAGTCCATAGCCCGCAGATCCTGAACGATATCTACAATGGAGAAGCCCTGGCTGCGACTGATCTCGGGAATACGGCCCGAATTTCGTGTCGTGTCTCTGCACGTCCGGAACCGAAATTCGCCTGGTTGAAGGAATCGACGGAAATCGAGGAGGGACCGAGATTCTCTGTAGCTACAGCACAGATTCCTGGTCAACCTGACGAATACGAATCGGTACGGTGTCGCACGTTTTAAAGGGATGTAGACAGCCAGAAAAGAGAGAGAGAGAGAGAGAGAGAGAGAGAGAGGGAGAAATTGAAAGGCGTTAGACGTCCTTTTTTCAGATCCTAACCTTCCCGGAAACCACAAAAGGCGACTATGGACAGTACTTGTGCCGAGCCACCAATGGCAAGGGCGCAAAGGCCGAGGCGATCATTCGACTGAAGGAACGAAGTGAGTGGATGGCAGTTTAGAGAATTCGGGTACTACAAAATTCACAACCAACAGACATGGAATTTTCTAGACGCAAATTATACCCTAAGGACCTGAAATGTTTTGATATTTTTGCCGTTTCAAATAGGCTCGAAAGCTAGAAATTTAGGCTTAATAAAAGTTCCTTTAGCAAAATACAGCCTGCAATTTCTACCTTTTAAAATAAAATTTGAATTTTTAGGCGCTCCCCAAGCCCCTCTTCAACTGAAGAAAATGTCCACCTCCCCGTCGTCCCTATTTTTGGCGTGGAAACAGGGCTTTGATGGTGGCTATGCGCAGACGTTTATTCTGGAGTACAGACGGTATGCTGACGTTAGAATTTATTGCCAAAAAAATGAGTTTTGCTGGTTTTCAAATTTATCGTCATTTTCCAGACTAAACCCATTCACGGAGACGCTTTCCGAGGAAGAGGTGACTACGGTAGAGGTCAAGGAATTGCAGAGGATAGATGCTCCAATGGTAGGTTAAATTAGGCGCATTTTGCTGACTGTCACCGTCCCTTTAAAACGCAAAATATCTCATTTCCAGTCGGATTCAACTCGATCGAAGCGTTCTCCCGGATTCCAAAGTCTCGTCGCCTACAATCTGACAAATCTACTCCCGAAATCCACCTACTATCTGAAGATCCGGGCCAAGAATCAGCAGGTAGCATTTTAATGACGTAACCAAATACCGTAATTTTTCTAGGGAATGTCCGAATTTTCCCCAATTCTCTCTGCAACGACTGATGATGTGTACGAGGATAGGACCGTTGAGGCTCCCGCCGCGATTTCCTACAATGCCCGCACGATGGGGCTCGTTTTGGAGGTACTGTAATCCCGTTTTTTTGGCTTCTGCTAGATTTTTAAAGAATACTTCTAATGATAATCGGGTATCTGCCTGCCAGTTTAAATAATTTCGTATCTACATTTAAATTTAAACAGTGAAATTAAGCAAATTTAAAACAACCGTCTTTTTGAGACTACTTTTTACTTCTCGTTTTTATTCTTCACACATTATAATTTTTGTTTTCAGCCAAAACCCTCCTCGGACGTGTGCGTGCAACTGTACGTCTCGTTCGGTGACATGTCCCGAGGAGTGGAATGTTGGCCATCGGATCGAGAGATTTCTGAATTGCCGGGTGGTGGACAGTTTGCAGTACGGTATTGCTCGCGGAACAATCGGATACAGTGTTCGCCGATCAGGTACGGTAGAATGGATGCCAGAATGTATTTTCAACAAACAAACACTGATAATTACATCGAATTTCAATAAATAAAATCAGAAAATCCAAAAACGGGCTTTTTGGGCGAAAAAATTAAATAAACTATTTTAATTCAAGTTAATTTCGCTTTTTTTAGTCACGCCGTCTCCTCGCCAAGCCCTCTAAGCTCAAGATGGCGCTACTTGGTGCCTCTGCTCGTTGGACTGATCGTGATCGCGTTCCTCTCAATCCTCTGTGCAATTTGTTGCCGATCGAGGAGAGGAGTCGACGATAAGGCGAAGAAGGCCAAGAAAATGGATATGTAAGTGAATTCAAATTTTAAACTGTCTGCCAGAAAAGACAATAAAACGCTAAAAATCATACTTAGCGGATATTTTAGTCGCCCTGAAGTCTCCGGGCCAATGCCGCCTATGGAAGCGAAGAATGGGATGACACACGGATCAGCCACTGATTCTGGTGTATTTACACTCGAGAATGGGCAGAAGGGCATTGGAGGAGGAGCCGGATCGGTTAATGGACACACATTCAGCGCGTGAGTCGCAAAAAACCTTTTAAAGGGGCCGTGAAGTCCGCGGATCGTCCCCCTTACGTTGCATAGGTCTGCACAATTCACTCCAAATGACGCGTTGAAGCGCGCATTATTTTTTCTTTCGAGCTACTGTAACCATCAAAACGGTTTTTAATGCGTGATTTGGAGTGTGACGTAGTTTTCGACACCTAGTCGATTCAAGGGATCGATTACGCATTTTTTCATTTTTCACGACGTAATTTCTGAATTTTCAGGAACGAAACACTACCCGAACGAGATTCCTGGCCGCCGCATTCTGGGCCAGTTCCCTCCCAATTCGACCCATTCCACAACGATCCGTATTTGAATGAATATGATGGGACGGCGTGGAGGACTAGTGGTAAGCTATAAAATATATTAAAAAAATTGAAAACAAAACAAAATTAAAATAGATTTAATTTATTTGGGATTCAAATGATTTTGAAAATTTTGAAATCTAAAATTTTGAAATTCAATTGAATCTAGTTTCTTTGAAAAATTAGCAATTTCAAAGAAAAAGCAAAAGAAGGAAAAGCAAGCGACAAAAACTAGTGGTACGTTAAAAGATGGACTAAAAATTAGGCAAGTAAGTAAAAACGAGCAGAATTCATACATTTATACCTTTCCTGCCTAAATTGTCAAATTTTCATTTAGTTTATTTAAACCTTGTTCGTTCATGATTTTAATTTTTTAATAATTTGTTAAAATTGAGTTTAAAATGTAATCGATTCGGTTTTAATGGAAAGCATTAAATTAATGAGTTTAGCCAGATTAAAATCTGATCAAAATAAGATTTTAATAAAATTAAAATTATCAAAGGTAAACAATAAAATAAAGAAAATATTTTTGGAAGTTATTTTTTTAGAAAATCTAAATTAATAAATTAATTTGAGTGCACGACGGCAGCGGCACCGGTTCGGGACCCGAGAATCAGACAGCGACCACACATTCCGATGGAGGAGATTCGGATTCGGAGGCATTTTCCGGACAGGGCAGAGTTATCAGAGAGATTATCGTCTAGACTCTAGTCTCTAGCCTCTAGACATTTCTCTGCGTCTCTTCCCCTTCCCCTGTCTCTCTCTTTCTCTGTGTGTTTCTCTTCTCCAAATGCGGGTCTATCCATTCTATTCGGTGCTCTTTTATTCCCTATTCGATTACGACATGAAAATTGTAGCTAGAAGAATATTTAAACTAAAATTAAATAAAATCTAGTCCTAATAAAAAAAATGTGCGAAAATGGCTCAATCTATTCACTTAAGAAAACTCATCAATTAAAATTTTTTTGTAAAATAATACAAAACGTTGTGATGCAGAGTTACGGTACCTCGATTAATTTTGAAAATTAAAATAGCAATTTAGCCATGACAATAATTATTGTATATTTTTTTAATTTAATAATTTAAACCAGCGATCTCGTCAACTCAATTCTATCGCTCTTTCATCATTAATATCCCCTCTATATTTTGCTTTAAAGTATCATCGACAAATCGCTATGATTATTTGCATTATTTTGGCGATGTTTTTCCGTGTTTTTATTTGTTTTTTTTTGTTTGTATAGTTTTGTGGAATTGGAGGATAAATATATTTATTTATACGTTTTAAATTGAAAACCACATTTGAACTATGAACTACATTCGAAACAACTCATTTTCTTGAAAATTGAAGTCTAAAACTAATTAACAAATTTAATACGGTTATTTACAATTGCGGTTTATAGAAAATGGCTTAAATACAGTAAAATAATTAAGCCAAAAATTTGGCAGACGGCATTTTATGCAAAAAAACTTCAGCGAACCCGAAATGTCTTAAAAACGGTGCGTGCATTTTGAATTTGATGGCGCTTAGAGCTTCAAAATTGCTTACAAAAAATTTTTGGCAAAATAAATTAAAAGCCAGATTTTAATCGATACCGGATACGGAGAAAAACAGTTTTATTAATGCTAGAAACATCACTATTAATGCGATTAATAAGAGATCCCAACCTGACAGGTGCGCTCATCAGGTTCACATCTGGTAGTGATCGCCCAAATGTGACCCCAGGCGACATCTGGGGGTGAAAAGTGATAAGAAGTTGCTATAAAAGAAACGGAAAATTGCGCATTTTTATTCTAATCGTTCAACGGACCATCAACGCCTTCAGCCGATACTACGCTGCCATCACAATCTTCTTCACCAACAATCAAGATGCCCGTCCAACAGGTACGTCTTTTATTTAGTTATACATAGAATTCTCGATTTATTTCATGTCAGTTAACTTTAGTTTAACTTAATTTAAGTGAATTCCGAACGTTCAAAAAACTAGTTTGGCTAGCATTATCGGCGAAAATTATCATAGTAAATTTTATCAATTTTTTTGCGTCCAACGCCATGTCCCTTTTTTAATAATACTTCATTAATTAGAGATACTTTTATTGGATAAATTAAAAATTAAAAAAAAAAAAAAAAAAATAAAAATTTTTTTTTTTTAAAAAAAAAAAAAAAAAAAAAAAAAATAAAAAAAAAAAAATAAAAAAAAAAAAAAAAAAAAAAAAAAAAAAAAAAAATTTAAAAAAACCCAAAAAAAAAAAAAAAAAAAAAAAAACACAAAAAAAACAAAAAAAATATTATGTGATTTTTACGTCGTATTGTGGGTCATTTTTGCCTTACCCTTCCGGCTGGGGGTTGTCTGCTATCCCGTGCCCCTGGTTTCGGCCCGATACACGCGACCTATTCCTATTCCAATTCCTCGGCCCCGCCGCCAATTCACGAAAAGGCTTCTTTCCTCAAGGAATCTAAAACATATTTAATCGAAACTCTTCTAGTCCTCCTCGAAAATGGCCTCCACGTCAACACCCGGTGATTTGAGGATCAAGACTGGAGATGGTAAGTCAAAAATCACGAAAAATATCGTTTCAAAGAGTTTTACATCAACCATTACAAACTCTCAAGTGTTAGCTGTAATGAAGTAATACAATTGATAAAAAAGTGGCTACTTTCTTACATTATGAAGATTTTAAAAGTCTCTCGAAAATTTCGGCTTTTGATTCTGAAAATGTCATTTTTAAGATGTTTGATAATTTTTTTGGTAGATGCTTTTTATATGGTTCAACAGACAGCTACGGTATTTAAACATATATTTCGAAAAATAGCGGAAACTAAAGCGGAAATATCGACTCTCGCTCCAGGCACCTTCATCGCCTCAAGCCAACGAGCCGACGGAAGCTGGCGAAAGCCGAGAAAAGTGAAGGAGGGATATATTCCACAGGATGAACAACCTAAATACCAGGCAAAGGGAACGGAACCGGCCGTCAGGGGACGGTAAGTCGATTCGGAATACGGTACCTAGAGCGCGAAATAGCACCAAATCAAATCCAGGTCGATTTGTAGCCAGAAAGTTAGTTTTCGTTGAAAAGCTAATTTCACTGAAGATAATTTTCTGTATTTATCTGGACTGTCCACCAATTTATCCGAAAAATTAATAACGATCATGTAATACGTCTAAAAAAATTGGATTAAGGAAATTCGGTTTGGCTGGTTTTCACCAATTCTGAGTGTTGACCCGATTTTTACAAAGAAATTTGAAAGTCTTGTTTCCTATTTTGCAAAATGATAAAATTGTTAGTCAATTAATACAATAAAATGCCTTAATTGATGTTTTTCCAGCGCGCCAGTTGGGATCACCCCGATGGCGTTGGCAGCACGAGGGGCTGGAGCCTCGCGTCCACAGAAACCGATCACGGCCATTGAGAAGGAAAAGGCATGCATCACCCCACAGGATCATGTCAAGAGGAAAATGGGGAATGTGCAGAAGAAGCTGGATGAGATTACGCAATTGGAGGTAAGTCTGGAAGCCTATTGCTAAAAAAATTACACTTATTTATACCGATTAACCAAAGTTATCTATTTAATTTTTGAGTTAAGATCATGCTGTTTTATTAATTCAGTTGTGACGACGGTAACTAACTCTAAAACTAAAATTCATTTAAAAATTTCGAAAATTAATTTGAAAAATTCCTGTAGTTTTGAAATTTTTCTTCCTGACTGACAGTAGACAAATTTGTATATTTTTTAAATTCCGGTCACTAGAAAAACCCTGCAAAAATATGATTTTTGCCTAAACTGGCAGCCAGTTATAATAAAAACCATGAAATAGGCATTTTCGAACCGATTTTTAAAAGTATCGGAATTATCCATCAATTTCCAGGAACGTGTCGCCAAGGGTGAAGCGGAGAAGTTGGAGAAGAATCAGTTGACAAAGATCGAGCGAAAAGCGCATTATAACGACGAAATGGCAAAATTGGAGGAGCAGTTGAAGGCCCTCGATGTCAAGAAATAAGCTGAAACCTGTGATATCCGAGCTATGAAATGATTGATGGCTGCGCGGCTCAATAAATATAAATTCTAACAGAACCAATTGTAAGCCATTTTCAAATGCAAAACTATGACAAATCAAACCCAAAGAAATGCAGTAGGGTTGTAATTGAAATCTGGTATAACAATAAATACATAAATAATAATACAAGTAAAAACTTGGTTTCATAAATAGTTGGAAACTCGCCATTTCTAGGGCTTTCTAATGGTATAACTATCAATATAAGCTGATAATCCTGCGCCGAGTTAGAGGGGTGTTTTTTTATTGGGGGATACCTTTTTAAAAACAGTATTTTTGCAAACGAGGCGCTTGACGTTCAATTTATTCACTATTTTAATATTTTAGGCTTGCCCGTAATTCTCTAATCTCTGCATGCAAATACACGATCCCATCTTGTTCATCCCAGCACAATTGACAAATTCCCAACCGGAAGTCAACTAAAAATAAATCGATAATTTTCTAAAAATCCTGAAAATCTGCATCCACTCACATCAGAACACAACAGATCCACTCCTTTATTTGTCGTGTATGTTAGGGAATTCGGGGGTGAATAATCGAATGGGGAGCCATCTCTGGAAAGGGTAAAATTAATAGACGGGTTCACAGAACACAGAGTTAACCGCTCTTTGAAGGTATCGGGAAGTCTGAAAATCGACTCAAGATCGATTAAGTCTCGACAATTACGGAAGTTTTCCAATGCTATTGCATTACAATTAGTTCGCGGCTAGGCTGAAGCGTTTAGGTAAAAATCGAGAAGCGACTGGATGCATTAATTGGCTAATAGCGTATTGTCGAGACCTAGTTATGTTATGTTAAATGTTAACCTTGTTATGTTAAATGTTTCCGCTTTTTATAGCAATGAAAAACCTAACCTCCAAGTATTAACATTATTCCCTGTCCAAGTCATCCCAAGCCAAACACCGATATATTGGGTCGAGGCCGAACAGTCTCCTCGACTCGACCAAACATCTGAATTTAATAGAACAGGTAGAGTATTTTTGAAACATGCGCATCATGGTGCCTGATTTTTATAAAACGTGAGCTTACTGGTCATAAAATTATTTTCGGCGTCGGAATGGATCGATGGTGGCTGAAGGCCAAGATATAAACAAGTATCAAGGCAATTCTAAAAACAGCCGGTTTTGTACAATTTAAAACTCAGAAAAAAATTTATAAAATCCATACCAAGCGCAAACATGAGAGATAAAAATAAACTTCTAGTTCTACGAAATTTTTATAAAACTAGCAAAGGAATTATAGGGATTTAGAAAAAAATCGATCGAACGGGAAAAAACGATCAAAGAGGGAATACGGAAAAAGCATCGCTGTACAGCTTACTTGTACGTATGAACAGTCACCCAAATTGTAGTAATTTGTATTGTTGAACACCCAGTCCGGCGAAACTGAAAAATGAATTTTTAGCGAATTTTCGAAACTGCGATTTCTGAGCCAATTATGCCACTTACTGCTATCATAATAATTCGAGCACCCGGAATATTGTGGCCCGGAATCGGTGGAAACTGTAGAAACGCTGTATTCCGGTGCGGATTGGTCCAATAGACAACTACTTGTCGACCCTAAAAATCACATACTTTCAAACTTAAAACAACTTTAAGTCAATAAAATGTGGCAAATTTTAATCGATGCGTCAAAATTCCATTCAAATCAATAACTAACTCGCGATTGCCAAAACGTCATGATTCTGATTGCTACTCAATGGCAGAAAACAAACTTAAAAAATCTAAAACATAAAGATGATTTAGATTTAGATTTCGAACGCGGTAGTTTAATAAGATTTTACCAGCACTAATCCCACTGCAACTATTCTTCCCGCATTTTTTCAGGCATTGTGGTATGGGTAGAGCAGCGCCCTCGACTCTTTTCACGAGCAGTAAGGTAGCCGATGCAGTATTTAACAGCAAAAAAATTATCAGGAACCTTGGGAACATCGTTGCTAGTTGGAACCCGGAATTTGCAGTTTGTTGTGGAAATGTTACAGGGCTTCGGTGAACGGCGTGGAAACATTAGTTGCTAAACAACAGGAGGGTGGTGCGCATCCGTGTGTCCAAAAAGTAGACATATCTCAACCGGAAATGGGATTGCTACACTGCTGCAAACAACGGCAAAAGCTGCGTCAAAAAAGGCATAAAAACGCGAAAATTAGGTTGTCAAGGGACGATTTTTAGAATTTCCGAGCGAATATCACTTTTATGACAAATATTTTCGATACGATACGGTCATTGCAATAAAAAACGCATTAATTAAAATGGGCACCAGACAATTTATCTCAAATCATGCAGAGTGATTCATCAATTCTTCATGCGGTTCCATAATTCGGCATTCTCATCATGCAAACACAAGTTGCCATTGTATTCAGCGAAGAACACGGAATGTCGGTCCATACTGTTGTGAGCTGAAAAATCGGGGATCAGGAAACTTGGACAAAAATAAAAAGTAACTTTATGTCAAAGATAGTACACCGATTTTAAAGACAGCTAGAATTCAAAAAAGGAAAGAAGACTTACACTAGTGCAGTCGTATTTAGTTACATTGCTCGTGTAATAGGTCAGCGGATATAATGGAAATTGATTCTGGAGTTGTGTTGGGTAGTCCCACGCGGAATTGTCTCTGAAAACGTAAACAAAATAAAAAATAACTAAATCAAAGCACACACAAATAAAAGCATCTTTCAGTTCTGGGAGGCTTTTACCCGGGGCCGAAGAGCGGCACGCCTGTCCCTTTCGCTCCAGAAAGACTACGTAGATAGGAGCGCCGCGTCGCTCTCCCTCCCCCGAATAGACTCTAGTTAGTTATTCCCAACAAAAATTAGCGCTACTTAAAGGGCTCGTTGGGGGGTTTTTTTGGGGAAAAAAATAATTTTTGCGCGGGGGGGGGGGGGGGCCCCGCCCCCCCCGGGGGGGGGGGGGGGGACCAGGCCCCCGCCCCAACCCGGGGGGACGGGGGGGGGGGCGCGGGGAGAAGGGGGGGGGGGGGGGGGGAAGGGGCGGGGGGGGGGGGGGGGGGGGGGTCAGGGCGGGGGGGGGGGGGAGCGGGGGGCCCCGCCCCGCCCCGCCGGGGTTAAGTAAATTTAAAATAAATTAGATGCAGTATACTTAAAAAAAAACAACAAAATTACCTCCAATAATTTGTGTAATTCCCCCTGCCAAGACATCCCGATTCACATTCCTTTGGTGTAGGTAGCTCCGGTGCAATTTGATCGGCTTGCCCAAATGTCTATAAAAATGAACAAAACTACATTTAAAATTTAGGTACAACTATTGTAAATTGAAATAATTACCCATATGAAACTGATTCTCCTGCGCTGAGTGGATGGACACGGATTGGAGGCCGAAAAATGTACAAAGGTCGAGGCAGTTCTGAAGTGAGGATTTCAGTCAGTTAAAGTAACGCAAGCTTCGTCAGGAATTAAAGACAAATTGGGAAAACCTTGCAAACCTGTGAATACGTGCAATTGCCCAAATTCTAGTAGTTTGTATTGTTGAACACCCAGTCGGGGCTGGCTAGAAAAGATATGATTTTTCTCCAATAAACGGATTTATTTGAGTTTCCTGAGATCTGAAATGTTCTAAACTATAAGAACTATAATAATTCTACATCAAATTCCACGCTTTTACAATTCACGTTCTTTGCTTGAAACTGTCGCTTACCGGAATCATAATAATTTGTGCAAGCCCCCGGAAACACTCCTTCTACCGTAGTTTCGTTTGCATAAAATTCGTACTCCGGATTTTCTTGATTCAATAGGCATATTGTCGAGCCTAAAGGGTGGAAAACGTTAAAAATGAAAATACAACCGCGACTGCCAAAAATCTTTGCTAGCTGCCCTGTTATAACAAAGATAGAAAAAGTTCCCATCGGCGCACGAATTTTCATTGAATCGATTTTTGAAGTAGATGACTATAAACGAAACATTTTGCAAATTCCAGCCGCAATTGCTATTGGATAGCTGCCCTTTTTATAACGAATGTTTTATTTGATGGTTTAAGCATAAAATACAATAAAAATTACTGTACCTAGCCTAATGTCATTGCAATTACTCTTACAGCTTTCTTGACGCATTGCATATTGGGTACGAGGGCATCCTGTTTACGTTGCAGGATTACGGCAGTTGTAACGATATTTATTGCGGAAATAAGCCCAAGTATCTGGTAGAGCATTTTGAAACTCGAGGCTAAAGCTTGTTTGTTGCAAATGCTTCCAAATTTGTCCAAATGCATTTTAGTTGCTTGACAACCTAATTTATGTTCATCGCCAAATTTAGCAACGTGAAAAATGACTGGTTCTGCGTCCAAGTCAATAGAATGCTATGAGGTTGCTTCTTTATGAAGTCACAATAAACAAATATTCAATCCTTGACATAAGTTAACCAAAAATAGCCAATAACACCACAGAAGTGAGAAAGACGATAAGAAGTTTTTGCACGTTGAATACACACTGTACAGTAGAAGGGTAACCAAAGTCACGGAGACATGTTAAAGCACACTCACGCTTTCAGCTTATCAAAACACGTATTACCGCAATTGATATCGATAGGGTAGCCGGCCAGCAAAAGCGAAAAAAGGCATTCCGCTGGCGGAGAAAGACAAAAGTTATTAACACAGCACCAACTTAAAAGCAAAGATAAATTTAGCGATGATAACGGCTTAACAATGAATCTAATCATTAATCAAATAACAATACTGAACATTCAAGACGATAACAATCAGAAAATAGCTTGCTGACCCAATTAATAAAATGAATAATGTCTAAAACCAGTGGAAAAAGACCGCTTCGCGGCCATTTTCCACTGGACCACGTCCAGGAACCATGAATTTGAATACACTATTTTTTTAGCCTGCGGCGCTAGAACCTGAGCCAAGGAGCCATTCTTTGGCCTGCGGCGCCAGAGCCAGCGTTGCGCTAGAATCTTTGAGCCTGCGGCGCTAGCTACTGGCTTTTCTCCAGGATCTGGCCTGCGGCGCGAGTGCCCGGGGCAAGAACCTTTTGTTTGGCCTGCGGCGCGAGAGCCCGAGCCAGGGGCTTTTTTCTTTGGCCTGCGGCGCTAGAGCGAGAGCCAGACCTGAATCTTGCACACCGAGATCCTAGAAATATGTTTTGAAACCGAACTACCAAAAAGCAAAAAACGAAATTCTCCCAGGATCCGAACTCACGACCGTGGGCGTGGTAAGCCGAGAGCTAATCCACTACACCACAGGGGACATGGGGGGAGGTGGCGGGAAAGGCCTGTTCTGTCCTGGGGAGGCCAGGGCAAAGATGCGGATGTCCAATGATCCCGGAGGGAGGCCTTCTGGTCACTTTACAAAATTCTTTTTTCGAGTTTGAATCTGTGGAAATTTTTGCAAAGATAATAAGATGCGCATGATCCCCACCCTTGATTGCATAAACGGTCCAAATTTCAGCCCGGAATTCCATCAGGGCGTCGAGTTATGGCCTGGACACCACGGCCCACTCCGCGATTTATTAAGGACGTTGCAGAAAAATACACATAAAAACTTTATTTTAAAGATTTTTGCAAAATCCAAAAAAATATATCTGGGGAATTACTTTTCCCAACTAACCTCCAAAAATGAGACCCCGATTCCCTCTAGGGGTCGAGAAAGTTCCGGACAACGTGCGTACCCAAAAATGTTAAGGATTTTTCACATTTTTGCTTGTAAAATCGTTAAATCAAAGAATTTCGAAAAATCCGAAAAACCGTTTTTTATGAGTGACATTTCCCACCTCCATGCCAAAAATCAGCTCGAAACGCGGCCTGACGGCCGAGAAAACGGCCGTACAGAAAACACACATACTTTTCTCGCTTATAGGATAGGATAATGCAGACGGTTACAAGCAACTTATGATAATGGGTATGTGGGATATTCTCCACAATCAGAGAGATATGGGGATAGACATGGTAATTGCACCTGGGACCGGTATTTCGTAAAGCGCCTCTTAAAAGATTTTACGTTGATCTTCCTAAACATCCAATTTGCATTCGTTTCATAAATGATATTTTAATTAAATGGCTTATTTTTTACTTCAGCTTCTAGTTGAGACATTTTCCTGAGGTACCATTTTTATTCTGTATTTAACGTCGAAATTGAATGTATCTTACTATCACGAAAATGATTAGCTTCTCTTGAAACAAAGAATAAAATATTTAAAACCAGACCGGTCACGGGCCTTCTGGAAGGAATACGACAACGCCATCGGAGAAGACGGCTATATAGCGTAAAAACAAACTTGAATGGGATTCGCGATGCGCGATACACGTAAGCTCGGCGCAACAAGCCGAAGGAACCGGACGCACAGACAACACACTGACACAACGCACATACAGAAAGGCTACGCACAGACATACTTCAGACGCACAGACAACACACTCCCACAACGCACATACGCACTGATGTTTTGATAATACAAGATAAATATGATATAAGTTAATATGATGGATTTAAAAATGTCTCCTCCTTACGCTCTCTGCCGCCATGTTGATGGTGTGGTGCGAAAAACAAGTGGCCAGCAACCCACTTTGAAGAAATAATTAGCTTTGGTTTACATTAAGTATGGCATAACAATTTGAACCATAATCATTTTTGATGATTTATCGCGTGTCCGAACACTGCGAAAATAATGAAACGTATGGATTCAGATAACCGACATTTATACCTGGTACAGGTTATGACGTTGCTTTTAGAACGCTTTGAAACAGAACTTACAATCTTCAGCTCTTCGATGCTCCGGATCCGGCTTGGCTCGATTCTCAGCGAGTCTTTGCCGGTCCTTCAACTCCGAGTCGCTGCAATTTTCCACATAACTGTTGTTTGTCGGTCGTTTGGGCCAAGACAGCGACGAGGACAGCCCATGTCGATTAGCAAAACCCCGTGACGCAGGGGAAGGTGCGCTCTAATTTCTCTCAGTTGATAACCCTTTCTCCCCGTCTTTTTTTACTATTGACCAACTATTAAAAAGTTATGGTCGACACGGGCCGCCCTTATCTCTTTTAGGCTTTACGGCGGATGCCCGGAACTTTGTACCGTCAAAGCGAGATCTCAGTGGTCTTTGGTTTGCATTTTCGGTACATTTCCGCGATTAGGTTGCCGATTTTGAAGAATTCATCCAAATCGCCCCTACCTGGTTAATTTTGGAGACTTGCCGGCAGAAAAGTCACTACTAGCTCGCAGCTAATGATAATTTTGTAAAGTCCTTTTCACTTCATTGGAGTTTAGCTTTATAAGGCCGAAATCCCTCGAAATATTCAAATCATGTTTTTTATATAAATTGATGATAGTAGAATAATGTGAGCTTTCAATTATTGTGAAGCACATGTACGATAGCCGTTGTCATGCACAATCTTGCAAAATTTCGGATTGGACAAGCTAGGTATAATTACGCACATCCGATTGAAGGGTTGTTGGAGGCCCAGGAAGTCAGCAGCCTAGAAATCCTGTTTATTTTCGAAAATCGCGAGACCCGCTTTTAACAACAGATTTGTACATTTTTTCAATACGGGTGCCCACAAAATCGACCTGATTTCCTCTCACAATTAGAAAAAGTTCTTATAGCTGCACTGATCCGCTCGCCTTACTCTTTGGTAAACCCTTACTTTTTGACGAATTGCGTAAGTTGACTCTCATCGTTCAAACGACCTTTTAAGAGCCAGTTTCCCTAATAGCAGGGTTTTTTCTTTGTTTTTTCTTTCTCTGAAGGCCTCATTGGAAACTTACATGCCAAAGCTGGATCAAATCCGCGCTCGACAAACGCTTGATCTTCTTCACATCCCGTGCAATCTGCCGATCTTGTCTGCTGGCCTCAGTTTCACACAACTTGACTAACTGGAGAAACATTCAGATAAAACACAATAGGATAAAACCCACTCCCTACAACAATTTTTGACGCCCCCCCCAAAAAAAAAAAAAAAACTGGGGTGAGCCAACAGTAAGCCATAGCCGCAAGCCGACGGGCCGTTAAAAAGTCCGTCAAAAAAATTATATACCGTTTGAAGTAAACATTGGCAGATAAATACCTAGAAACGTCGAAAATACTTTATTTAACGAAACGTCGGCATCGTGCGCAGTCTATTTTGAGCGCGGTTCGGTTCCAGTCTGCACAGACCGAATGCGCTCTCTGGGATCTCCGAAGCCCTTTGAGCTAGTTTTTGTTAATATTTTTGAGATAACAGCAGAAAATCCTACCAGGAGCAAAGCTTTTTTATCAACATCCGGGACCCTGATTGGTGTAGGATCCGATGCATAAAGCTCAGTGATGTCTTGAAGGAGGTTTGATTGTATGGCCAATGCGGAGGAGGCCGTGATTTCGAGAAATTCTCCATCAGAGGTCTCCATGATCACATAGTCCCCGATGTTGTTTGCACTACAAAGCTTTGATTAGAACGCAGATTGCGGAAAACAACGGCAGATTACGTAACCATTTTGGTTGTGGATTGCCGCTTGAAGGGAGCTATTGCCGACAACCCTTGTTTATTATTGGCGGATTCGGTCGTGCAACATAATAAAATTTTGGTTTGCACTAAAATGTTTCACGAACGGAAACGAATCAGACCATGGTTACTTTGCCAGAATGCTTAAATATGCTGGGCATCAAGAAATAACACAAATTGTTTTTTGAGATTTTTGATGACGAGAGAGTCGTTAAAAATTTTTGAACATTTTTGAAAAATGAAAAAAATTTGAAGAGGAAAATAATGGAATTTTTTATGATTTTTTTTTATGAGTAAATATGAGGGGGGTATCAAAATGAGCTCACGGAATGCGCTATCAAACCAGTGGTACAGAATATCGATCTGTTTAACTAGACGTCAATAGGAACGTTCGGAAAATCCGGACTTTTTGAAGAAAAAACTCTAGATAAAATTTCTATCCATCCGATCTTTAGCAATTAGCAACCAGCAGTTATTTAATAGCTTTTGGTATCAAGATTTCCAAAATCCCAATCAAAACATTTTTTGCTCTTTGCTAAGTCGGCGGGTTTTGTAGATTTTACGCTAGTATATTTGACATGGTAACATACTTATCTTTGGCAAACCACATTACCTGTAATAAATACAAAACGTGCCTTGTGCTTTTTATGGTCAACTCGGAATCGCCCCTTCTGGAAAACCGGATTTTCCGAATGCTCCTAGTGACGGCTCATTAAACCGATCGATATTTTTGACCCCTAGTTTGATAGCGCACCCCAAGGGCTTCATTTTAATACCCCACATTTTGATAATACATGTGCCCTTAACTGACACCACGGCAGACGCATTTTGTTAAGGACTTTTATAAAAATGCTCATAACAAATGTATTTTACAAAATCTCACAAAACGCAAAATTATATATCGGGAGAACCTCCCACCAACCCTCCAAAAACCTGAGCCCAATTCCGCTTGGATCCCAAGATATCCTCTGAATGAACCTTGTTTTAGACAAATTGTTAAGAATTTTTTCACTTTTTTTGATTGTAAAATCGTTAAATCAAAGAATGTGGAAACACAAAAAATGCTTATAAAGAGCCTGTCGGCCGAGAAATTGCCATTACAGAAAATAAACATGCTTTTCTAGCTTATAGGAAAGGATTTATTGGAGAGTATTTATATAACCTTCCAATAATTAATGGTATTTTACGGCCTTCTACCGGCTTTTGCCCTTAACAGTGAAAGCAGTGCCCCTATTTGTATGGCCCCCGTGTATTGTCTTATAGTGAATGAGATGCGGCGTATCAGGTGCTACAGAGTCTCCTTTTTCGCCTGATGCCGTGAAGGACTTACCTGGTGGTGATGCTCGCAAAGGTCATTTTAGAATAGATAAGTGAAGGGGCGGAATTCCCTCTTTATATGCAAGCAAACTCATTCCAATTTCTAAGATAAGCGCAACGGCGCGTATGGATGTTCCATAAAAGCGTGTCTTCGTTTTAGTCACTGCCGTCATAAAAAGATCTGGCGGTGGGATGACGACGAAGAGTGTTCGGCACAAATCTACTAGGTATAAATTTCTAATCCCCGTACGTCCGCCCGTCCAGGAATTCTGCCAAATTCTGCATTCAAATTCAAAATTTAAATTCTGTGAGGAGCGCTGGTGACATCTAAATATCTCTACTTGAGCCAGTTCCCCCGGCACCAGAAGCCGCTTGGGCCCTGGAATCCGTGTTTTGCGTATAATATTGGTTGTTTTTCCATAACTCGCGTCCTTCGGATCCCCTGCCTTTACCGAACACACACGCGCGTGTAACTCGCAAGAATGAGGAAGTTTCTATTTTCGTGCATTATGCAAATCAGCTCTTCCTGACCCCAAAAATGACCGGCTTTACTTTGATCCGTGAATCCTATCCAAATTTGTGAATGGAAAACACAAATTTGCTAAAGTGGAATAGTTTTTCCTTTGCCATAAAGCTAATTATTGATTGCATCTGCAATTTGCGTACCGGAAACGCAAAAACTTCATTTGGGTCCGGCTTCAAGCCTTTCAAACGCCGGCGGCTGGGCCGGGACTCCGGCCTCAAAACAAAAAAGCCGGGGCCGGGTCGGAAGCACCGGCCAAGCCGCGCGGCTCGGCCGCATTCGAATTTTTCCGGCCGAAAAAGCGTCCTGCCCGGCCGTTTGCCATGTCTGGTTTTATTACCTACGTGCTGCCTTTTTTTTGCTATCAGTAAACTAAACGATACTCGTTTTTGCGCCTGTAACTTTTTACTTACTGGAATCATAATAATTCGCGCAGGCTCGGATCCTCGTCTTCTACAGTAGTTTCATTCGCGTAAAATTCGTACTCGGGATTTCCTGGATTCAAGAAACATGTTGTCGAGCCTAGAAATCGGTAAGCATGGAAAATGGAAATACAAAATTACCCTACAAATTTGGAAGTAAATCACGAGAAACGAAAATTTTGCGGTTATTTCTGCCATTCCTAGAGGATCTCTGCTAGCCTGCCCTTGATAAAAATCTCAAGATAAATGAGTATAAAATTACCAAGACTAATGCCGCTGCAATTATTCTTCCAGCATTTCTTGATGCATTGCATATTTGGTATAGGTGCATCCTGCTTGCGCAATAGGATTACGGTAGTTGTGATAATATTTATTATACAAAGCAATGCAATTAGCAGGTAGAACATTGTGGGGCTAGAGTCGAAAGTCGCTTTGTTACCAACAATTGCAAATTTTTCGGCGCACGGCATTAGCTGCCTAACGACTAAGGTGATGTCCACGAGAAGAATGTAGACAAGTGGATAATGCCTGGTTCTATGCACCAGGAAAAGTTTGGCAGATTGTCAAGTAGAGCAAAGTAACGACTAACTGCAAGCACAATTGCGTGCTACAGTCCCCGCGTCGCTTCAGCTTCAAAGAAAGCTGAAGTCCACAACCACCTTTTTTCGATTTTCTTGTTTTTCACCATTTATATCAAGTCATTTTTCTTCGTGATTCTGTAAATTGGGTCAATTTATTGCGAGACATATGCAAAAAAAATCGTGAAAAGCCGGTAGCAAAGTATAAAATCAAAAGTAGAACAAAAACGAAAATGTCCGATGAAGTGAATTCGCCGGATGGAGGCAACGCATTGTCGTGTAAAATAGTAAGCTACTCACAAATAGATAAACCTTGGCCAAATCAGCACGTTAGCAAGAAAAACTTTTAGAATTTGAGTCAACACATTTCATGGAATTCCGTGCAGTACGACATGCCTGGGAGAGGTCCATTACAATAGGGGAAACAATTGATATCGTCGAATGTCGGTCCATGGTAGAAGTTCTAGGTGTTTCCATAGTGCGCCAGCCTTCTCATGCAAACGCAGGGCGCCAGGGTATTCGTGCTCTTGCAGGCCACGTCATTCCAAACGCCCTTGTTCGTGATCTGGAAATCCGCGTTTCAATGGGCGCCCCAGATTATTGGGTTTGAAAAAATAGTTTTCCACAAATTAAATATTACCAAAACAAAAACAGTACCGTAGAGCACAGCTCGTTCTTCCCCTTCCAGACATAATTCAATGGATCTTCTGTGCGCTGACGCCTCAGCTGTGCTGTATAATCCCACGGAGAACCGTCTCTGAGAAAAACAAAAATTCCCAATTTGAAATTAGATACCTCCAAAAATTAGAATGATTTCCCCTCCATGAGAATCCAATCCACAACCGACCCGTGAATTTTACCGAGCAATTTGCACGGTTTTTCAGAATCCCTGAAAAGTAGCTTTTTCAAGTATTTTTACCCTTAAAATTAGCTTTTCAATTTAGCGCATCTGTATCCAGTCATTAACAGAGCACGGTTTTTTGAAACTTGGCCATTAAATCCTGGATTTTGTTTGTAAAAGCATGCTGTTAAGACACACCCGTAAGATACGTATTTTCATCTTCGGAATGTATGGAAATTGGCTGAAGACCGAGGGTATTGCAAGTGAGAAGACATGCCTAAAAAATTATAATTTTCCTTAATTTTTTGTGTCCCCTTGCTATAGAATATAATGACTGAAAAACGCAAGATATGCAATCATTTAAATAAAACAGGTACAAAATTGAAATTGACCTGTCCCTGCGTACAATTCCCCAGTAGATAGTATTCCGTATTGTTGTGGCTCCACGTTGACGGTACTAACAATGATTTCAAATTTTCTGAAAATGCGATTAACTTACCTTGATCATAGTAATTACCACAGTTTCCATATTCCGGATAACTTGTCGTAAAATTTTTGATAGAAACGCGATATTCCGGGCGAGTTTGATTTAATTGACAACCAGTGGTTCCTGAAAAAAATGGAAAAGCCCGGAATTTTCTCGACCTGATAAATGTTCAAAATTTGGTATATTTTTGAAAAAATAATCAATAAGCTTTGCCGAACTCAAAAAAATTTAAAGCTCATACCTTTGCTAATTCCAACGCAATTCTTCTGTAAGCATATCCTCATACAGGCCACACTAGGTACGGGGCCATCGTTTAGACGCGTCAGGATGACGGTAGTTGATACAAAAGCGTATTTCGTAAATAGTGAAAATAAAAATGAAACAATTTGGCTAGACATTCGTCTGTTTCTTCTCAAAATCCACTCTTTGGGTGGTGATTTCAAATTTTATATTTTGTTGGTTGCCAGACTACCGATTTGCCATAATTCCAAGTGACCGGTAGTTTCTTAATTTAATGCGATAAGCCCCTAAAAAACTGTCTTCTTCGATCTACATCAAAACTCCAAAAAATCCTTGAACTTTTAGGTAACCAGACTCAAAATTTCAAAAGTCAAAATACCCAGTAAATTTTGCGAATTCGATTCACCTTAAAAAAGGTAAAATTAACATATTACTTGCTACAAATTAACAAATAGATTTATTGATTTTTGTTACAAATTGTTAACGACGAATTTTGATGTTTTTATGGGGTTCCGTAATAGGCCGGGAGACGTCTCTGGCAGAGACAAGCAGACAGTGTATCCCCCTGACACGACAAGTCATTCCAAATATCGCGATCGATCTGAAAAACCCAATTTGTTGCGAACTATTTATTTTGCCTTAAAATTGAACTGCAAATCTTTTGACTTACCGTAGTACAGTCCTCTTTCTTTCCACCCGCCCACAATCCGACAATCACCGGGTCTTGCCTGTCCAATTGAGCCATGTAATCCCATGGCGAGCCATCCCTAAAGGATTTGGTTGCCCCGCGGCACGCGACGCGCACGCCATTCGAGTCGTCAGGAATTACGCAATTGTAACGATTTTCAGGTTTTTTTGCTAGTTAAAGGGGCTCGGAAGTCAAAATTCGCCGATACGGGAAAGTCAAAATTCGCCGATACGGGAAAGTCAAAATTCGCCGATACGATACGGGGATCGAACCTACTGACCAAAAAACGAAAGACGAAAGGATCGCGGCAGAAAAGTACCAGAAAATACGCGCAAAAACTGGATGACCCAAACGAGAGACCGAAACGTTTAGAATTTCAAATTCGCGTTCACGCCCAAACAGGGGGGAAAGAATCATGCGGCGCAGTCGCGTTGCGGCCGCACCTGACGATTTGCCAGGAACCAACGCAGGGGCCGTGGACAGATTTCGCAGCCCCTTTAAATCGATCTTTCACTAGTAAGTCGCTTTTCCAGGCCCTTGGCACGTACGCATACGCCAATCGAGCGCCGCGAAGCACTGATAATCCACCACGCAATAAAAAAAAACAAGTTGACGCGTTGCGTGTCGCGGGCGTGATATTTATAGGTTAACGGAACCAAAAAATCATGAAAATTTCGTTTTCCCCACCTCCAATAATGCGTCTCACTTCCCTCCTCCCCCCTCCACGTCATCCCGATCCACATTTTTGTCGTGAAGCCATTTTCACACCATTCCCGGCCCTCCCAAAGGTCTAAATTGACGAAAAATTAAACCTAACTTTTGATAGTTACCGATGAAGTAATTGTTTTCGGCATCCGAGTGGATTGATACGGACTGCAGTCCTAGTATATCACATGCATCTACGCATTCCTAAATAACTTTATTTTATTAAGTTTTTAAGGGGTCGGGAAACGTTACGTCTTTGTTATGCCAAGGTTTTTGTCGGCACGCGACGCGCGCATTACGCGGTATAATCGAATTCCCTTGCCAATCCCTTCAAAAAATGAGAAACTCACAAACCTGGGCCAATGTGCAATTTCCCAGATTATAATAATCAGTGTTGTCGAAGTGGAAGTCTGGCGGAACTGCGGAAAAACTTAAAACATTAAAAGCTCCAAGCTATACCATTATCGTAATAGTTATTGCAGGCCGAACACGGATCAGTTACTGTAGGTTCGTGGGTAATTTCGTATTCTGGCTCCTCTTCGTTTAATAGACAAG